ATTCTCAAGAGACAAGTGTTGATAGGAAACGAAAGGTTGCTTTATTTCGGAGTCTGGCAACCGGGGGGGGGGGGGGGGGGGGGGGGCCTCTGGACAGTCAGGCGAGCGGGGAGAAGGTGGCGCCCCGCCCAGAAAGGCTGAGCAGGCGGAAGGGGCCAGCCTTCCGTCCTGCACGGGATGAGCTGGCTTCCCCCGGTCACCGGGGCAGAGAGGCCCACACCGTGCCAGCCCTGGTCGGGCTGTCTCTGGAGTGAGCGGTCGGCACCCCAGTCCCGTGCGCACCCTGCGAGAGCCAGGGTGGCTGCCGAGCCCCCGCGGCGCCCGGCGTGCTGCAGGGGCACGGGTGGCTCCCAGGCCCTCCCCGGCCTCACTCACTCAGGCCACCCCTCGAAGGTGGACACCGTGAAGAGTGACATCATGGCCGAGAGCACGTTGTCGAAGTGGAAGCTGTTGTGCGTCCACTGGCGGGGGCGCAGCTCCATCTGCGTGGGGTCCCCATCCTTGTACACGTAGTAGTGGCCCCTGAGGCGGGGAGACGCGGTCACCGCGCTGCGCTCGCGGGCCCCCCTCCGCGTCCTCTGGGCCCCGGATGGTGAGTGTGCGGGAGGAGGGCAGGTCTGGCCCGGGGTCCCCTCCCAAGGTCACTCGAGGAAGGAGCTTCTGTGAGCCTGAGGGGCTCAGCTTCCCAGTGCCCCCTGCGCACCTGCACTCCTCCTCTGTCATCTTGGACAAGTCATTGCAGCTGAAGAATTTCCCCTGCATCCAGGAGGGAGGGAGGGAGGGAGACAGGTTGGCATGGAGACAGGATGGAAAGATGCGGTGGAAGGGAGGAGGGGAGGCAGGGCCTGAGGGCAGCCTAACCGTGGGGGCAGGGCCCCAGGATAGTCTGCACCAGGTCACTGTTCCCTCAGCCACCGCGGGCTCCCCGCCAGGCAGACAGCTGTGAGGCTGGGGGTCAGCTCCTCAGACCGTGAGCTTTGCTGTGCGCCCCAGGCTGGGCCTGAAGGAGCGCAGTGCGGAGCCAGCTTGGCCTCTGCTTCCCGCTCAGGAGCCCCTGCCCCTGGCCGCACCGCTGGGGCTCCCCACCTCCCCCACTTCCTTCTCAGGCCCTGGGGCGGTGCGGGGATGGAGCCCAGCTGGGCCCGGATGACACATCTTCTCTCAAAATTGAGCAGGGGTCCCGGCACGCCCACTCCCCGCAGGCTGAGTAGGGGAGCTCTGTGATCCCCTCTGCTGACTGCAGCCCAAGCAGTTTCTCCTTTGGTTTACGTCACATATTGGGCGCCCAAGGAAGACTTTGTTTCAACAAAAGGAGTTGATTGCTAGGTCTGACTGTGGCTAAATGTTTGAATCCATAGATGCTGGTCCAGGTCCCTCAAAGGTCGGGAGAGGAACATGCCTTGGCCAGGGACACAGGAGCAGCTGAAGGTGCGGCCACCCTGTCCCTGCAGGCTCTTGCCATCCCTACCACCTCCCCCTAATGTCACGGAGCAGAGGGTGAAGGTGAGGCAGGGGACGCTGCTGCCACTGGGCAGGTTTTTGGGCACTTGAAACCAAACGCCCAATCTAGTACAGAAAGCAAATACAGGACGGATACACGTGGCCAGTGCATTACAAATGTGATGTAAATGCCACCTGTACCTGGCGTTTGACTATGATCTGGGCGGGAACGGGGGTCTGTCGATAAGCGACTAACACACACAGGGGCTTGGGGGTGGGGGAGCAGCTGCTCACTCATTCTTTTGGGGAGCGCATCTTGGGGGCCCGGATGGGTGCCAGGGTGAGGATGAGTCCTGCAGAGACTTTGCCCTGAGGGGGTCCCAGGGCCCCCAGGCTGCAGAGGCAGAGGCTGGGGATGGGGCGGGGGACGGCCCTGGCTGGAGCTGTGGGATAGGGCCGAGTGCAGGCCACTGTAAGCACCTGGTTTGGCGGCTAAGCTGTCTCCGTCCAGACACCCCTCCCATCCCTCCAGGACAGAGACCAACAGGACCCAGTCCCCTGCAGGTCCTCTGGGAGCCCCACCCTGATGGCCCTCCCCAAAGCCTGCCCCTGCCCATGGAGAGGGCCTTGTGGGGTTCGCTCCGTGGCCCCCTCAAGCCCTAGCAGAGGCCCAGGCCCAGAGGAAATGCTCCATAAATGTTTGTTGAATGAATGAGTGATTGTAAGATTATGCCATTGTATGTCTGAGAATGACTGAGGTTACATAATCGGGATGGTGCTTTGCGGGTGGGAGCAGAGGGTCATGGAAGGAAGTGTCATGAATGTGGGTGGTGCCTTCAGGTGTCCGTGTCTGTGTCCTGCAGGTGATCTAAGAGCCAGAGGCATCCAGAGGTCGGCCGCACGCACAGAAGACGGCCTGTCAGGCTGATTGCCATGTGGGAACGAATAGCGAGTTCTCCCAGGAAAGTGAGAACAGAAGCGGGGTGGCTCCCAGATGTGAAACGACGGACCCCCACCCGCGGAAGCTTGCGGGAGACACACCTGCTGGCTCAGGGGGTGCGGAGGCTGGGGCGGGCGTGTCCTGGAGGGGGTGGAGAGCATGACAGTGGGCTGGGTGCTGGCAGGCCCAGCAGGTGGGGGCCTTCATACTGGAGAGCCAGCAAGACAGCAGGTGGCCCGCAGAGCCCCGGGGGCCAGGTGGGGCGTCACCTAGGAACCAAACTCAGGCTCTCGACGGCTTAGCCTTACCCCTATGCATTCAGGATATCTGCCTTCACAGTGAGTCTGGGGCTCCCCTCGTTTAGAGGGAAACAGACCGGCTCTTGCCTTGGCCCAAGAGCTGGAACCGGAACTGGGGGAGTGAGGGCAGGAGGGGCTCACCTTGAAGAGCTGGACGCCGATGCAGGCGAACATGAACTGCAGGAGGGTGGTGACCAGGACGATGTTCCCGATGGTGCGGATGGCCACGAACACACACTGCACCACGTGCTGGGGAGGGAGGCCCGGTCGGCACCTCTCCCCATCCCCTTGCCGGCCCGCGCCAGCCAAGGGGCCCCCAGGGCGCAAGCCTAGCTTCCTCCCGGCTTGTTGGGGGCAGAGAGGGGCACATGGGGGCACGGCTGCCCAGCCACACCCCACCCCCATTGGGCAGAGGGGATGGGATGGGCCCGGCAATGGCCGGGCTGACTGTCTGAGTGAGGGCTGGCAGCCCTGTTCTCCCCACCGGGGGTACCGCCGGTCCCTCTCACCTTCAGCCCTTTGGCTCTGTTGATGGCCCGGAGCGGTCGGAGTACCCTCAGCACCCTCAGGATTTTCACCACGGAGATGGTGCTAGACCTGGGGGGCAGCCTGCTCAGCCCTCCGCCTGCCACCAGCTCTCTGCACCCACGCCTGCCTCCCCCAACTCCCCTTAAGCTCCGCCCCAGGATAGAGGCGCCTCCCAGCCCCTGGGCTGGTTTCCTCCAGGGCTGCCCACAGACCCTGTCTCTCCCATCAGACTGGAGCACCCTGGGCACCGGGGCTGTGCTCCCCGTGGGGCTGTGGAGGGGACTCCCTGCTCCTGTCCGCATCCCCCCTGGTCTCCAGCACACGCTCTGCCCACCTAGCCTTGTCACTCAGTCCAGTTGGTGACAACCCAAGGGACACCCCCCCGACCCTGGCCAGTGGTCCCGGGAGACTTTCCCCTTGTGGCTCAGCGCCCACCAACCAACAGCGGCTGGGCTGCCGCTCTGGGGCCCCGGCGCCCCGCTCACTCGAGTCCCATGGAGATGAGGGACACGGCCACCACCAGCAGGTCCAGGATGTTGAAGTGATTACGGCAGAAGGAGCCCTTGTGCAGGAAGGCCCCGTAGGTGGTCATCTGGGGAGAGAGGTGGCGTCCTGGGTGGGGAGGACCCTGGGCACACTCCTTGCTGCGTCCTCAGGGCATTGCCCTGTTCTCTGCACCCGCTTCTGGGAGCACTGACACCTCCCAGGGGCAGCGAGGCCAAGGGAGCCCTGGGTCTCCTTCCTTACCCAGCCACGGGGGCGCCCCGCCCTCTGCTCCGCAGAGTGATTCAATTCTTCCTCTCCCTCCTCCCTGGAAAGCATCCCAGGCATGGCTGGGTCAGGCTGAACAGCCCGTCAAGGACCGAAGACCTTGCCCAGGCACCCACCCCTGCACACGCGCTGTATCTCAGCCCAGAGGGGCCACTTTCTCCTCTCTGAGCACATCCCAAACATCGCTGTACAATGCGTTTGCATTGTTTTGTCCTCCTTGACTGCCCCTGCTCTCTCTCTAATGAAGTCCTGTCCAATTTCAAGGCCTAACTCTAAAGTCAGCACCTCCAGGAAGTCCTCCTGGACCTCAGGGAAGCCACCATCTCCCTCTGATCAATTTCTTTAATAATCGGGGCCCTGAAAGAAAGGACTGTCCTCACTTCATACTGCAGCCGGCTCTGGGCCTGCTCTCCCTTCACGGCTCCCCTCTCCCCTCCTGGTTCATGGGAGTGAAGGCTGGGGTTACGGGTTCCAGTCACAGATCGGAGGTGTCTGCCCCCAGACCCCATCCCCCACCAATGATGGTGTGAACCCAGCGTGTCCACCTTGAAAAGGGGAGGGCAGCGGTGTGCTATGGACAAGGGGTGGGAGGGCCGTGAGAGGGCAGAGCTGCCAGAAACCCGCCCAGGGCGACAGCCATTTCTCTGGGATCCTAGGGGAGGCCTTTCAGTCGCTGGTGACAAAGGTCTGGCAACAGATCACAGTTCCCGGGTCCACGCACTTAGGCTAAAGTTGCGCCTTGGCTGTGGAAGAATGTGCCCAAGGCTTCAGAGACACGCAGGGCGCCCTGCGGAGCCCCACAGGCCGCGGCTTCACTGCCCCTCATGTCTCCACAGCCCCCTGCTTGCCCGCTCGCACCAGCTCATGAGCTGAGACCATTCGGTCTCCTGGGTCCTGTGAGTCTTTCCCTGCTGCTCTCCACCACCTCCTTGCTTTTCCCTCCTCCCTGCAACCCAGCCCCTGTACAGCCTGTGTAAGCAGGAGCCACAGCAGGTCGGCTCCTTGGCCTGAAGATGCTCTTCACCCAAGCTGTCTGTCTCACAGCCTTCACTGACCTTGAGGACAATCTCCACAGTGAAGATAGAGGTGAACACGATGTCAAAATACCCAAGGATCTGGTGACAGGGCAGAGGTCAGTGAGAGGAGCGGCAGAGCAGTGATAGCATCATCATCTTCATCGGCATCGCCACCATCACTATCATCACCACCAGCATCACAACCACCACCATCCCCGTCACCATCCCCACCACCATCCCCATCACCATCCCCGCCACCATCCCCGCCACCATCCCCGCCACCATCCCCGCCACCATCCCCGCCACCATCCCCGCCACCATCCCCGCCACCATCCCCGCCACCATCCCCGCCACCATCCCCGCCACCATCCCCGCCACCATCCCCGCCACCATCCCCGCCACCATCCCCGCCACCATCCCCGCCACCATCCCCGCCACCATCCCCGCCACCATCCCCGCCACCATCCCCGCCACCATCCCCGCCACCATCCCCGCCACCATCCCCGCCACCATCCCCGCCACCATCCCCGCCACCATCCCCGCCACCATCCCCGCCACCATCCCCGCCACCATCCCCGCCACCATCCCCGCCACCATCCCCGCCACCATCCCCGCCACCATCCCCGCCACCATCCCCGCCACCATCCCCGCCACCATTCCCACCACCACCATTACAATCACCGCCACCATCAGTACGGCCAACACCACCAACACCACCATCACCACCATCATCACAACCATCACCATCCGCATCACCATCCCCGCCACCACCATCCCCACCACCACCATCACCATCCCTGCCACCATCCCCACCACCATCACTGCTAACATCCAGCAACAAGAGCCCGTGTAGGCCGAGCGCTGTGACAACACCGCTCAGGTCGGGCAGTCTTGGCCCTCCAGGGATTTAAGCTCTAAGCCACTCTGATGCCTGTAGCCGCACAGAGGACACAGTGAGCTCTGGGCACCAGGGTGAGGTGTGCGGTGACGGAGGCTGGGTGGGGGTGGGTGCCGAGCTGGCTGCCGTCACCTGGTTCCTCACGGACTCAGTCCGGATGGGGTCCTCGGCAGCCAGCGCGGCGCTGCTCAGCAGGATGAAGAGCAGGATGAAGTTGGTGAACCAGGTGGCGTTGACGATGCGGTGGCACAGGACGCGGATCCTGCGGGGGCGGGGCAGGGGCGGGAGGCTGTGACCGGCCTCCGTCGCTGGACCCCTGGCTCCCGGTCAGTGGAGCAGGACAGCCGGCAGCCAGGTGGCCTCTGGCTGCCCCGCAGGGCCCTGTCCCACCTTCTGTTCCTGCAGCCGCAGTCGCATCCCACACAAGCCCTCCCCCAGCACTCCACCCCATCCCATGGCATCCCCACCAAAGCAACAGGGCAGGCCCATCTCCATCCCTGAGGCCGACAGCTGAAACTCCATGGGGACTACAGTCTCTATTTTAAAGGTGTACAATTGTGAGGCCAGGGAGAGCTAGAGCTTATCCCCTTGTCCTGCTCTTGGAAAGGAACCCAGAGATGTGATGCCTCTTAGGAGTGAGTAACTGATAAGGCTTAAAGCATTATTTCTCCCAGAGATTCTGGCACTTTCAACTGGGCACAAGGCCTCAGGCTAAAGGAATGACTTTCTCACGGCGTAACTGTAGGCCCAGGGAGTCAGGAGAGGGGCGCCTTCTCAGGGCAGGAAGCAGCCCTGTCTGAGAGCCCCGCCACCGAGGGGCACCCACTTATTGGTGGGGCTGAGGACAAAGAAGGCGCTGGCTTCTGGGATGGGCACCGCCTTCTCCTTCAGCTGCAGCTCGGCCAGCGGGCGGGGTCGGGGGCTTATCGGGATCTCGGGTTCGTCTTCCTCATCATCTCCTGTGGGGGAGGGGAGAGAGAGGTCGGGGTGTCTTTCCACGTTTCACTGCTCCCCTGGCTCCTGTGCTCTGACCCCAACCGTGAACCCCCAGCAGCCAGCAAGCGACACAGGGCACGAGGGCGCCAGCAGAGTCCAGCCGGGCACCTCCCTTCCTTGCGGCACACGGGGCTGAACTGTCCAGACGACGGTCAGGCTCAGAGCATCCCAGACGTCGGGCCGGAAGCAAAGGTCCGGGAGCCTTGCCTTCGCACCTCCTGTCTCGGGGCTGGACGCACCACCTCGAATGCTCACAAGCTGGGGGTGCCGGCGGGGGGGGCCCTGCTTGGCACGAGGCCAGAGTGCTGGGCCCGGCTCCGCCCCTGACTCTCAAGCCAGGCCGGCTTCTGTCCCTCCCGAGTGTGAGACCCTCAGCTCGTGACATTGACAAGGGGCGGGAGGCCTGTTGAGATAAATGGACTCGGAGCTTCTCTCCTGGGGCCAGGTTCCAAAACCCATCATTCAGGGAGGAACTGCCGGCATGAAAAGAAACCAGGATTCTTTTCTTCCGGGGCAGGTGTAGGGTGGGAGGGGGTGGGAGGCGCTGGGAGGGGGAGAGGGCCCCTCGGGCTCATTTGCTGAGTCTCAGGGCCTTGTGAGAGGGAGCTGTCCCCCCAGGTCCTCAGCCGCGGACTGGGGGCCCTGTGGGAAGTTGGGGTGCCCTTCCCTTTGTCCCCTTGCCCACAGCTGTCCCCTGCTCTCCAGTTCTTCCTGCCAAAGAGCATCCTCACGGGACATCTCCTGCCTCGCCTGGGACCAAGGGCCCCAGAGACACATTTTATGCTTAATCGCAGAGACTGTTAATTCTTAGAACTCGCGTATTTGCTTTCTGTTTCCGCCTTAATTCTGATTTTCTCCGCCCGCGCCCATTGTGTTAACTTTGCTGTGCATATCTTTCATTGTCAGCCATTTCAGATTATTTTTGGAAAGAAGCAAAGTAAACACATTCAGCCCCTTTGGTAAGAATGCTCCTCCGCAGCCCCCCACAGCCCCTACCCCACCTCAGGTCTCCTGGCTTAGCATCTCCCACCTGCACAGTGGCCACTCCCATCTACTAGGAGATGGTTACTAGATGAAGCAGATGAAGTCGAATTATTCTAAAACCCAAATGTCCCTTCTGGCAGGTGTCTGAAGAATTATCATTAGTCTCATCTATACCAGCTCCATCCTCCCTACATTTTACTTGGCAAAATCTTTGCATTTTTTCCTTTCTTCTTTTTTTTTTTTTTTTTTGGATTTCTATAAGGCTTTTTTTCTCAGTTTTAATATTTTTTTATTAAAGTGTAGTTGATTTACAATGTTGTGTTAATTTCTGCTGTACAGCAAAGTCATTCAGTTACATATATATATACATTCTATCTTTTTTATATTCTTCCATTATGCTTTATCACAGGATATTGATGAATGAATAAAGAAGATGTGATACACACAGACACACACACACACACACACACACACACAATGGAATACTACTCAGCCGTAGAAAAGAACACAATAATGCCATTTGCAGCAACATGGATACAACTAGAGATTACCATGCTAAGTGAAGTAAGTCAGAAAGAGAAAGACAAACACCATATGATACCACTTATCTGTGGAATCTAAAATATGACACAAATGAACCCACCTATGAAACAGAAACAGAATCACAGACATAGAAAACAGACTGGTGGTTGCCAAGGGGGAGGGGGTTGGGGGAGGGATGGAGTGGGAGTTTGAGGTTAGCAGATGTAAGCTTTTATATACAGAATAGATAAACAACAAGATTCTACTGCATAACACAGGGAACTATATTCAGTGTCCTATGATAACCCTTCATTCTATCTATTGATTGCCTATCTGGTGCCAGACACTGCTATTTGGAGCACAAAGGGTCCCGCTGGAGCTTAGAGTCGCTGGCGCAAACAGATGCTAATCAGCTGATTCCACAAATAGACATGAAATTGCACCAGTGACCCAGAGCTGGAAGGACCCAGGAGTGAGCTAAGAGAGATCGCCAGCTCTTGGGCACCAGCCTCTCCCAGGTGGCCTTTTAACCTTAACCAGCTTGGGAGCTCCTTCCAAGTGTTCCCTCCTTGGCACCGACAAAGAGGGCTTCTGCTGCAGCCACAGGCTGTTTGCACCTACGAGGCGTGTGTAGTGCCTTCGTGGCTGTGCACTATGCATCCCCCTCCCCTCCACCCTGGTCTGGAGGGGCTGGAACAGAAGCCATGTGTGCCCATCTCCTGCACCACACGGGCGGCTACACACCGCTCTGTGAGCTATTCTGTGTGGCTGGAGGGGCTGGAACAGAAGCCGTGTGTGCCCATCTCCTGCACCACACGGGTGGCTACACCCCGCTCTGAGCTATTCTGTGTGGCTGGAGGGGCTGGAACAGAAGCCGTGTGTGCCCATCTCCTGCACCACACGGGCGGCTACACCCGCCTTGTGAGTTATTCTGTGTGGCTGGAGGGGCTGGAACAGAAGTCGTGTGTACCCATGTCCTGCACCACACGGGCGGCTACACCCCACTCTGTGAGCTATTCTGTGTGGCTGGAGGGGCTGGAACAGAAGCCATGTATGCCCATCTCCTGCACCACATGGGCAGTTACAGCCCCCTTGTGAGCTATTCTGTGTGGCTGGAGGGGCTGGAACAGAAGTCGTGTGTGCCCATCTCCTGCACCACACGGGTGGCTACACCCGCCTTGTGAGTTATTCTGTGTGGCTGGAGGGGCTGGAACAGAAGCCGTGTGTGCCCATCTCCTGCACCACACGGCGGCTACACCCCCCCTTGTGAGCTATTCTGTGTGGCTGGAGGGGCTGGAACAGAAGTCGTGTGTGCCCATCTCCTGCACCACACGGGTGGCTACACCCGCCTTGTGAGTTATTCTGTGTGGCTGGAGGGGCTGGAACAGAAGCCGTGTGTGCCCATCTCCTGCACCACACGGCGGCTACACCCCCCCTTGTGAGCTATTCTGTGTGGCTGGAGGGGCTGGAACAGAAGTCGTGTGTGCCCATCTCCTGCACCACACGGGTGGCTACACCCGCCTTGTGAGTTATTCTGTGTGGCTGGAGGGGCTGGAACAGAAGTCGTGTGTGCCCATCTCCTGCACCCCCCGGGTGGCTACACCCCGCTCTGAGCTATTCTGTGTGGCTGGAGGGGCTGGAACAGAAGTCGTGTGTGCCCATCTCCTGCACCCCCCGGGTGGCTACACCCCGCTCTGAGCTATTCTGTGTGGCTGGAGGGGCTGGAACAGAAGTCGTGTGTGCCCATCTCCTGCACCACACGGGTGGCTACACCCGCCTTGTGAGTTATTCTGTGTGGCTGGAGGGGCTGGAACAGAAGTCGTGTGTACCCATGTCCTGCACCACACGGGCGGCTACACCCCGCTCTGTGAGCTATTCTGTGTGGCTGGAGGGGCTGGAACAGAAGCCGTGTGTGCCCATCTCCTGCACCACACGGGCGGCTACACCCCGCTCTGTGAGCTATTCTGTGTGGCTGGAGGGGCTGGAACAGAAGCCGTGTGTGCCCACGAGTCTCTGGACTCCTTGAAAACCAGGTCCTTAGCCCTGAAGCACACAGCCAGTACTCAGTAAATACTGGCTGAATTAATTGAAAATAAAATGTGTACACTTTCCCACTGTGTGTATCGTAGGGAGAGGCAGGCTGGCAGACGGCTCACTTGCAATACAAGGTGCACAAGGGATGTCTGAGTCCTGATCTCCTCATGGATGGGTCCAGGTAGGGGACACACAGGAGAGATTTCGTCCCTGGGGAGAAGTCACCCCAGCACACCTGCCCCGGGTCCCAGGACTCTCACCTGGGAAGTCGGCTGACGGGTAGGGGTCCTTCACCTCATTGACATTGGATTCAAACTCATCGATCTTCAGCTGGAGGAAGGAACACGATGAAGGTGAAAACCCAAGCTGTGGTTCCCACCTAATGAACATTGACTGGAGGGCCGTGTAGGTGTCAGCTCACCAAAGCCTCCCTATGGCTCGGGGCGGGGTGAGGCAGTGGGTGCTATTATGGTCATTCCCGTCTTACAAAGGAGAAGCCAGGCGCAAAAAGGTCAGCCAGGCTGCCCAAGCTACCAGGACCCCAGCCTGTCTGAGCCTGAGCCCCTCACCCCTGCTTAGTTCTCGAGAAGACAGAGGACTGCCCCAGGCCAGGACCCCTGCTTTGGGGCCCAGTTCCTGCCCCTCTGAGCTCTGCTTCCTTGGCACCAGGAAGGCTGAGCAGGGCCAGGCTGACAGGCGAGGCAGGGCTAGAAACGGGGTGGGGGGGGGCTGGTCTGGGCGGCTCTGAGGGGAGGGGGACACCCTGACTGGGGTGGAAAGCTGGGACTCAAAGGAAGTCTGGTTCCTGGATCGGGGCGTCTGTGTCCTCAGTACCAAGGATTCCGTGAGACAGAGCTGCCCTCACCTGGCTGGTGCCCTCAGCTGGCTGATACCCAGGCAGACAGCCCCTCTCCTGCCTCCCCCTGCCCCCCAGCATCCTAAGGCACCAGGCAAACAGGGGACTTTCAGAGGCCTCTCCCCGTGCGGCCTCTGAGAGCGCCCCCCATGAAGGGCTAACCTTGGCCGTGGTGGGGATACCCTCCCCCTTGGGTTTCTGCTCCAGCTTCTTGGCCACCATCGACTTCTCTTCCTCTGACTTGTCTGGAAGCCCCCTGGGTTGGAAAACCAAGAAAGCCCAAAGTCGAGGACCAACTGGAAGGCTCTGGGGGACGCGCCCAGCCTGAGGACACTGCAGGCTGACCCCGCGCCCACGGGCCGGGCGCATCGTGTCCTCCCTCTGCAATGAGGGAACAGGACAGGTGTCCACCCGTGGCCGGGCAAACCCAGGGGCCGTTGGCCGGTCCCAGGGGAGGGTTCCAGGCCGCAGATGGTTAAACGGCAAACTCACAGTTGCCTGAGGCTCAGCAGAGGGAAGGGACCCCCTCCAGGAAGTGTGGTGACAGGGCGGAGGCCCAGCCTGCCTGGCTCTGCCCTCGGGGTCCCGCCTGCCGACTGGCCTGCAGTCCTGCCCCGGGGACACCTCAGAGACTTGGCCAGCGGCCGCAGTGGTTTGGCCTCTGCTCCCCAGGGAGCCCCTTGCCCGGAGCTGGCAGAGCCCTGCAGGTCCCTCCCGCTGGGTGCGCCCCGCTCACCTGGACATCTTCCTGCGCCTCCGCTCCTCGGCCTTGGCCTTCTGGGCCGACGTCAGGCTCTCCGCCTCCGCCAGGTTGTCTACCGCGATGGCCAGGAAGACGTTGAGCAGTATGTCTGGGGTGGCCCACTAAGGAGCTCGGTTGGTGGGGAGGGACGCCCGGGGGGCGGAACCTGCCTCCTCCCGTGCTCCAGGCTCCCCGTCTTTCTGGGGCTGATTCCTCCCACCTGTCACCGGTCACCCTGTGTTTCTCTAACCTCCTGCTGGAAGGAAGTGTCCTACAGCTACACCCACACTGCCACCGGCTGTGTCCCACCTCCCCACCCCCAGGAACTCCCCAGCAGCAGGCCTGGGCACCTTGACCCCGCTTTACGCCCAAGCCCCCTCCCCAGGCCCTTTTCTGTGCCCTGCGTCTGGGCGGATACAGTTGCCGCAGACGAACAGAATGATGAAATAGATGCAGACGAGCACCCCGGGGTAGGTCGGGCCGCCGTAGGCCATGATCCCGTCGTACATCACAGAGTTCCAGTCCTCAGCTGTCAGCACCTGGCAGGGGAGGAAGGGTGGGCGACGCAGAGTGACTCGAGGGTCTTCTCTGGGGACTGCGCTGTCCAAAAGTCCCCTTCCAACTCTGCCCCCAGACGGGTCCTCTCTCTTCATCCGGGGTGAAGTCCCTGCCCTCCTGAACCTCTCCCGGGGGTCGAAGACCTCATCGTTGGCTCTTCGGGGCCAAGGAGCTTGATTGTGGCATCAAGGCTTCCACGAGCTCTGTTCCTAAGGCCCAGGCTTAGCTGTGCTGCCCACACTGGACCCCCTGCCTTTCCAGCCCCCAGAAAGAGTGCGAAATGTCAGGTGCCTTGAAAGATAGGATGCCCGACCAGCCGGTGGGGTGAATGGAAGAACGAGCGTGACACCGGGTGTAGGGCCGGCCGGTTGTCACAACTGCCCTTCCCATTGGCAACACCGAGGTGGCGTCCCCTGAGTACTGGCCTGACAGAGAGGAGCGTGTGTCTGCTCTGCGCTCAGGCAGCTCGTTCTGGAGGCCGGCCAGGGCTTTAGTGAGCGGTGGCTGAGGCATATCCCCACAGTGGGAAGTGGTTTGTGTTCCTCTGGGGCTTTTGCAGCCTTGGGGAGGGACAGCCCACCTCGTCTGACCTTGTGCTCAGAGATTCTAGTAGCACGTGGGAGAGAAAGCTCCCTGCCCGCCCAACTCCTTCACTCATTAACCGCTGCCCTACTGTGGGCCGGGGCTCTGCTGGGCTAAGGGACGAAGACACACAGGACACACTGGGCACAGTGCCCAGCCTCCAGAGCATGGAGGAGACAGACAGGCAACTGTGGCCTGGAGGGGATGCGGGGGCCCGGAGGGTGACGTCGGATCAGGGAAGGCTTCCTGGAGGAGGTGATGCCCGATCTCCAGCGGCAGGCAGCGGGCTTTAGCCTACCTGGAAGACGGTGATGAGGGCCTGCGGGAAGTTGTCGAAGTTGCTGCGCCGCACCACCGTGTCCTCAAAGTCGTACCTGCCCCCGAAGAGCTGCATGCCCAGGAGGGCGAAGATGACGACGAACAGGGACAGCAGCAGCAGCAGGGACGCGATGCAGTGGATGGAGTTCAGCAGCGAGGCCACCAGGTTGCTCAGGGACGTCCAGTACCTGGAGGAGACAGGCGGCCCCCCCCGCCGGCGTCCCTGC